GAAATATCTGGTTCATTATTTAATTATTTAACAAAATTTAGGTTTATTTGTTATTTTTGGAAAATATTTTTTAACACACCTTCATAAGGGGGTGGGTTGGCTCAGTGGTTAGAGTCATGACTTTGAGATCGGAAGGTCTCAGGATCGAATCCCACCGTTGGCCGGGATTTTTTCATTTAATTTAATTATTTAAAATTAATTCTGATGCCTTGGTAGGATTCCCCACTCGACCATTCACTGTTGGGTTCTAATTAACAGTGCCGTTCCTAAAGTGGCGCTGGGAAACAGTAACAAAGCCTACACAGAACACGAGGCTAATGGCCGTAGTAGTCGACGCCGATGACACCAAATAAAAAAAAAAAAAACCTTTATAATCACAGACAAATGTATTAAAAAACAGTCTCATATTTTTAATAAAAATGTAAGAAAAATTAAAAATAGTCCAGTAAATTAATAGTAAAGAAGACAAAAGAAGCAAGATAAAATACCACAAGACGAAAGAGCGATTGAAAAAATATTCCAATATTCTAATTAAAATTAAAAAAAAAAAAAAAAAAACTTAACTTTCACCTACCCTTAAAAAAAGAAAAATTAAAACAAAAACTTGATGGCTCTTGGCCGTACAGGTTATAAGTAAAGAAGTTAGTTTTTTTTAATTTTAATTAGAATACTGGAATATTTTGTCATGTACTAATTTGTTTCGCTCATTTTTGATAATGCGCTAACTTGACTTGCTATAACTTGTCCAGTCGTTAATTTGTCTCGCTTTATTTATATCAGGCGCTAACTTGCCTCTCATGTATTTGTCTCGGCGCAAATTTGTCCCACCCGAAATTGTTTGCGCTAAAAAGTATATCTTGTTCGTTAAGTGCTATTTTGTTCTTGCGCTGTTTTGCCCTGTGTTATTTTGCCCTGCATTATTTTATCTGCGCTAGTTTGTCCTACGCAATTGTTTTCTGCGGTCTTTTGTCATGGACTCCAATTTGTCAGAGACAGTTGACTATAGTACAGGTGAACAATACATGACTCAAAAGAAAAATGTCTTGGTTCACTACGATGCCGAACATATGGTATGACATCACATCATGCTTCATAAAGACAAAAAGAACATGTCAGATTTACAAGATCTACTAATATTTTAAGATCCCAAACCAATACTACCATAGTAGCTAGTCAGTTATTGCTATATCAATCTGAATCTACTACATCAACACTCCTAAGACCAGAAGATAATTCAATTTTACTTCCTATAGCTATTAGGTATTCCAATGACCTGTCAAACAATGGCTGCCGGACGACAGGGTTGCGACATAGTCTTCCATCTTGGACGCTATTTATATTTGAAATAATAGTCGTCAAGCCTGCCAATTTAGAAAAAATATATAAATATATATATAAATAAAAAATTACATTTTCATGGTATTCGACATGAAATGGGTAGTATTGGGGTAATATACTATGAAATATGATTGGCGGTATATTACTATTGAAATTTTACAGACAGCTTGTAGACACTTTGAAACACACTGCATAATAACTATTTTGGGTCCTCTGACACTCTTGAAAAATTGTTTTTTACCTTAAAATGTTCAAAATGTTGTCGAGTCTCGACCAAAATAAAATGTGAATTAAATAATTTCAATCGATTAGACTGTCCATATAGCAATAAACCATATAAAAAATTTCGTTAACATTTATAATTCCTTACTTTTTGGTTTTTAAATTTTGTAATAAAAATAGGAATAATTCTAATTTATGGATAATATGGCAATTGACATTTCTATTTCTATAAATACGGGTTTGCCAAATATAATAAGAAAACAATAGCTGTTTGGCAATACTGCCGTGTGAAGGTAAAGGGCAGTAAGTAACATTTTAGTCAAAAATGAGATATTAATGTTTCATACCTAAGCAGTAACTGCCCTAACTTCTGATAGGGTTTGGTGCACATATATAAATAAACTTAGGCCAGAATTGAAAAGGCAAATCGCAGTAACTGACAATATAACTCTTCAGTGTTAAGGTAATAGGCAGTATCTAACTTAAAAACCATTTACTGCTGTTTACCTACACATTTACTTAAAACATAAATTCAAATGTGAATGTAAAAAGCAGTATCTACTATTTTATTTTGCTATATTTTTTAATAAACTCTTGCTTTATTTTGTATTTATTTTATTTATGTTGCAGAAGATATTATTAATTTACATAAAGCTATAATATTACTTGCATTTACTGCTTTTTAATAACAAATTGATATTGAGTTACTGTTAGGGTAAACAGCAGTAACTGCTGAATTTTCAGCAAAACTCAAAGTGAGAAAATTTTATTTTTTTCTAAAAAATAATTCCTATCCAGTAGCGTTATATAATGTTTTTTTATTTAAAATAGAAATAAAAATAAATTGCGTAGAACAAAAAACACTAAATTGGCAATAACTCAAAATCATTTTTTTGCACTTACTGCTCTTTACCTTCTCACGGCAGAATAGCTTCAGGCCTCCAGGCCAAAGGTTAGGTAAATTATTAAAAAAAAAATGAATTTTTCTCATTTTATGTAATTAAAAATTGCGAAGCAACCCGCGGGTCAAGGCCGCACAGGTTAGGTAAGTTTTTTAAAAAAATTTGCGTAGAATCCCGAGATAGCTCCAGGCTCTGTTTCGTTCTACGTACTATTTCTTCAGGCGAAATTTTATGACGCGTCTTTTGTATATGCGCTATATGTTCCACGCTATTTTATCCGGCGCCATTTTTGAAAACATTATTTGTTTTAACAAACGCCAGAAAAAGCTCACATAACGCTGTCAACTTGACAATATTTTTAGAGTAGAAAAGATTTTAAAACTGGCGGGAAAATTGTATAATCCTTGCAATTTAGAAAATGTTAATATCAAAGCAGAAGAGTATTCTGCGGATGAGGAGAAGGAAGACTTGACAATTTTTAAATCTTTAGTTTTATACAATTTTTCTTAAATCGAAAATTGTAATTTTTGATGGCCCGGTACCACAGATAAAAATGACGATTGACATGTTTGAATTGATCTGGCAGCACTGTATTTCTAAATAATTTCAATCGACAGTATATAGATCAAATGCCACTCTAATATCACCAACAGTTTTAAAATTTTGAAGACCAAATACCAAGGAATTATAAACGTTTACGAAAAAATTTTGTATGGTTGGATGATACATTCGGAAGTTGAAGGTAAAAAAAATAATTTTGAGCGTTCCAAGGCGAACATTTTGTTTCAGAGGGGTCTAAAAGAAAAAAAAAATGCCTGTTCATGTTTTGGCATATTTTTCCGGCACTTTTTTAGAATAAAATATTTAAATGTAATCCATTATTCGTGATTTCACGTGTTGTAGACAGAATGTATGTCGCAACCCCTTAGATATACCAACCTTTCCCTTTGCTACAAACTTTTCCAAAATGGCAATATAGTGATATGGAAATACCTGAGGTCAAACTGTTGTCAAAATTGGATGATCTGGGGTGGTTAAGTTAAAAAATCAGGATGTCGGGGTTTTTGTTGGGTTGTTGATTTTGAGAATTGTCAGAAGGGAATTATTGTTTAAAAAAGTAAGATGGAAAATGTGGAATTAAGATAGATAGATAGATTGTTATGTAAAAGTTTAAGAACTGTGATATTAAGTTTAAATTAAAAAAAAATACAAATAAAAAGAACGTTTCATTTCTAAGTTAGAAAGAACATGGAGAATAGTGAAAAGAGTCCGGGCTGACTAGCGGAAGAGACATGCACACAGGACACAGGCAGAGACGGTAGACAAGAAGTAAGCAGAGGAGTGAGAAGAGATAAGTTATTAAAGATTTTTTAATTTTTTATTTATTTATTTTTTTAATTCAGTAATCATGGCTTGTAAATTTTTAGAACCAGGCCACCTCTTTTGAAAGTCTTGAAAAAATGGAAAAAAGACATTAGAAATTAAAATTACTATACTGTGTGTTTCCGTGTCAATAATTTGCTTAGCAATTGTAAAAACGGGAACACCTTTCATTTACAAAAGTTTTGTATTAGAGTTTTTGTTTAAAATTTATTTAAAAAAAAATATTGTTGGAATCAGTTCTTCCTAATTAGCGAAACGAGGTAGAATACGATTCGATTAAAATACGGACAGAGTATTTATTTAAGTATACCTGTAAAATTTAAACGCTCTACGATAACTTTATTTCGAATTTCTTATTTGCGTCTGTCATGCAGTATTCGCATTAAAAATACACCCTTCAGGGAACATGAACTAGACCAAAGTTCCGATTAATTGTTGAGAAGCATTTTTTCTAATCAGTTATAAGTGTAACAAAATAGGGACAACTTTGATGAAATTTACAAACATCAACATAAAAAAAAAAAACTAAAAAAAAACTAAAACCTGAAAAACCTAAAAAAAAATAAAAAAAAAACCTAAAAATAACTTAAAACACTAAAAAAATCTAAAACGAAAAAACCTAGCAAAGAAATTTAAAAAAATGCAAGCCAGATAACCCGGGAGCAATTAAAAGATGATCATCAGGACATCGAATTGGACCAATATACCAATTCTTAGCTTTATTCTAATTTTTCACAGATAAATCCTGACCTGTATTTACAATTTGTATAAATATGTATTCGAGAATTGAATGTATTATTCCTATTTTTAATTTAAGTATATTTTTGTACTCAACAACCATATTTTAATTCGCAAATGTTTTAAATAAAATATATGTGGTTTTGATGTGGTAATCATTACCGAATTATTGTATTTCATAGGTGTAGATCATTTTTATCAGTCAAAGTCAACAAATAAAAGTGTTTTATAAGCTATATTGTTTTTATTTTTCTATCCTAAAACTATTTTATGTTCTTTTTTTTAATAAACTTAAAGGCTAAAAAAAAATACTTTGATACGAAAAAAGTTTATTGGTAAAAATAAGCAGATTAACTGATAAATCTAAAACAATATATGGAAAAATAATTAATTTTTGTAAAAAAAAGGGCAAAAAACAAATTAGATTTCCAAGGACATTAAAAATAACAAACAAAAGATTCAAATATTAAAAAAAACAACAATATAAATAGTAGCTATGGGAACACCAGACAAACAGAGGAAGACCAGACACGACAAAGGCTCAACATTAACGAAAAATGGATAATGGATACCAAAGATATAGAGTATAAAAAATATTACGACCACAGAGATTCATCATTATCGTTAGACGTATTCAAACAAATGTCGATATGATCATTCAGTTCAATCTCGCTAATCAGTTTCATGCACAATTAAAAAAAAATCTCCTCTGATGCTTCTTTCACTTCTTTATTTTCCTCTATAGGTTCAATTTTATCATCGAAAATGTTACTCAGATTCATATAATCTTCCTAATGATCGTTCAAATCCGATTTCAAAATATCTTTGTTGCACTCCAAACACTTCGTGTAGAAGATTTTTCTTCGATTGGTTCATTGTTTACATCAAAAGTTTCTTCTATTTTATCAAATATATGTATGTGCATGCACGCATTAACTTATGCACCATACTCGGTTCGATGGACCATCTTTTGACAGACTTCGCATTGATTGACTTCTGTATTTTTATTGTCAGAATCGCTATTGTCATCAATGTCAAAAACGTCATCGTCTTGCTTGAAGAAATGTTGTAATCGTCACGCTTAGAATTGGTACTCAGTTGGTACTTAGGCATTCGTTTAGATGCGAATTTATTAGACTGTCTTTAATGTTTTGATGGCAATTTGGATATTTTACGAGTTTTCCTGAAAGTTTGGGAAGTTTTTGTAGACAATCAGAAGCCGTTTCAGAAGAGCTGCGAATTCAAACGTTATGAGAAGAATTACAAGTATTCAGAACTTATTAACCCAATGATACGAACTAGAGGAATAATCAGAATTTTCAACTTTAGCAGGTGTAGAGTGTATTCTGTTACTTTGAAGAGTAGCTCGAATAATATTGGAACTATCTTTACTACTGGTCTAGCCTTTAATCAAATGAAACAATAAAACATATTAATTCATCAGATTTCCAAGGACATTAAAAATAACAAACAAAAGACATAATTGCAAGGATTCGCCATTAATGTAAAAAAAATGTTTAACGAAAAACACCAGACAACCGGAGGAAGGCTTGACACGACAAAAGCTCAAAATTAACGAATCTATAGCTCAGAACAGAGTATCACGGAGAAAAGAAAGGAAACCCTCAAAAATGGATAACAAGCGATAGAGGGTATAACAAAATATTACGATCACAGATTTTCATTTATCGTTAGACGAATTCAAACAATCATCAATATGATCATTCATTTCGAGCTCGCCAATGAGTTTCATGCATACTGGACAATTAAAAGTGTTTTCTGATTTTTTAACCTCCTCTGGCAATTCTTTCTCCTCTTGATTTCCTTCTAAAGGTTTATTTTTATCATCGAAAATGTTACTCAAATTCATACAATCCTCCAAATGGTCGTTCAAATCCGATTTCAAAATATCTTTGTTGCATGCCAAACACTTCGTTTTGGCAGAAGATTTTTCTTCCATTGGTTCGTTGTTTGCATCAAAAGTTTCTTCTATTTTGTCAAACATGCTGTGCATGCACGCATTAACGTGTGCGCCGTACTCGGTTCGAGGAACCATCTTTTGACAGACTTCACATTGCTTGACTTCTGTATTTTTACTGTCAGAATCGCTATTGCCATCAATTTCAAAAACGTCATCGTCTGATGATTTGTTTTTGTCATCGCAAGAGCTTGAAGAAACGTTGTAATCGTCACGCTTTGAATTGGTACTCAGGCATTCGTCTAGATGCGAATTTATTTGACTGTCGTTAATGTTTTGATGACAATTTGGACATTCTACGAGTTTTCCTGATAGTTTGGGAAGTTTTTGCGGACAATCGGAAGCTTTTTCAGAAGAAATGCGTTTTGAATTGTTTTGTGAGGAAGTAGAAGTATTTGAGAACTTATTAACCCAATGATTACGAACTAGAGAATAATCAGTATTTTCAACTTTACCAGGTGTAGATTGTATCCTGTTACTTTTAGGAATAGTTTGGGTATTATTTGAATTATCTTTACTACTGGTACTAGTACTAGCCTTTTTTTTAATTACTATGGTATTTGAATTATTTCTGACCAAAGTTCCACCATTACTTTTTTTATTATTACTACTACTATTACCGCTGTGATTTGTAAAACCAAAAATATTATTTGAATTTGATATAACTTTGTTTACTGGTAAATCCGAATTATTATTAGATACTGTTTTGATATTTGCTGTTGTCGAACTGACAGGACTTTCTGTCGGCGTGAAAAACTTTCTGATATCCGGCCCAGTAATCTTGGCATCCGATTTTGATTTGACGGACTTTTCTGGTTGTTTAACCTGTAAAGAAATAATATTGTAAAAAAAATCGTAGCAGCTCGAAAAAAATGGTTCGAAATATATCAAAAAATGTGATTAGTTCGGAGTTGTTCTACTATACTCTCTAAATTAATCTGAAAATTGAGTACATAATTCCAGGTTGTCTACAACAACTCGGTTTCCGCCGATCTTATGATACAAATGGTGATTAATAAAATGAAAGGTAATACACAATTATAAAAGATTATTAAATCAATAAATCTTAACGTGCTGGAGTGTTTAATTCAGTCCCTTCAGTCGGACTACAATTCTTCGAGGGATAAGACACTTCAGTCCTATGGTTTATACACTTTAAGAAAATAAAAACTAAAAAAAAATATGAAAAACTACTTAACGGTACTTAATAAAACAATCACGATGTCAGTGCAAGGTTGTTATAGTGTTGACATATTATACTTTGTACAGTATTTTCGGTTGTATTGTATAGTTATATTATACTTTTAAAGTACTGAAAGTATATGCATAAACTTTCTTCAAGAGTTAGCTATTTGCATCCAGAGTGCATCAGGTAATGTACAACGCAAAAGGTGATTCAAGAACCAGCCATTACTCGTCATCACTTTCTCTTCAGATATTGAAAATGAGGAGAATATATTATTCCCTGGGAGTTTTAATTTCTCTCGTTTTCAAGCATAGGCACCCTGGAGTATAAAAAGAAACCCGATTTTTTTAACTCGAATTCAATAAATACCTTGATGAATTCTCCGCCGCATTTTTGTAAATGTTCGGCCCACCATCTGTCATTAGGACCGGGTGCTCTGTTCATGGCGCGACGTACCATCCCGAAATACGGCTTCCATTTTTGACAAGGACCCGTACATTTCCACCAATGTTGTTGGTATAGCCTGACTTCGTCGTGGAAGTCATGGTAAACTGTTATACGAGTTCCTAAAAAAAAAAATACGCTTTTTTAAAGTTCAGTCAGCATAACTTTTTTCGAAAAGATAAGAAACATATTGTCGATGTTTTTCTTTTTTTTTAAGTTTAAGGATTTACCAATTTAATCGAAATGTATAAATTCAGAGTATCTATTTGGTTTTAATTCTAGAAAGCACAAAAAAGAAGTATTGAATTGTCGTAGACATAAACGGTACAACCAGAAAAAATCTAAAAGTTCAATAAAATTGTTAAAAATAACCTAACATCATTCTGCCTAAATAAAATTCAATATTTTCTCAAAAGAATGAAAAAATGATTCTAAAAATTGGATTTGAAATTATAAAGTAATCATTAAAATACGAAAAAGTTACTATTCACAAAAATCCCCGTAATCGACTTAATGAGATGACTGGTTTGGCGTTTTTAAATTTTAGTCAGAGTCGAACTCAGCAAGTAGATGCGTTAATTAAAATCTAAAGTCCCGGAAATACCCCAAGTTCTTTCGCTTTCTTTATTGTTTAAAAGTAAAATGGATGATACAAAAAATTACTAGATTTTAGAACGGAGATTAATTACATCATGTTATTGTCAGGTGACAGTTATCAATATAATTTTGAAATTGTCAATTTGTTAAAAATTTGTATATTTTGATATTTCAAAAGTTTTTATAAGTATTCAACAAAATAGTGAAACGATTTAGTGATCAATCAAAAACTTTAATCCTAAACCCGAGTTTCCTATTTTAAGAGACACAAATCTATTTGCGAGGCTCTTGGAAAGACAATCAAATGGCTGCAGAGGCATTAAATATTTGGCAGAAAACTATCTGTAGACTTAGTAAACCAACAAATTCTGATACAGAGTATGTATGTGAAAGTAATGTCTAAAAAAGTAAGCCAAAGTAAAACAAAAGTCAATTCATTAATATTAAGTAAGTTGAGGCAAGTTATATATAAGATGTACGAAGGTGCGCAACATAAAACAATGAAATCGTTACATAAACGATTTTCGGAAGAAATGCCTGATGTGAAATGTTCTGCACGGTCAATTAGCACATGATTCGAAAAACTGGCTTTCGCTTTAAAAGAAGTAACAACAGCGAACAGCGATTCAATTTTCTTTTCCAATCGAAAATAACAGATATATTCCATAAAATACAGAAACGACCCTCAGTTCACCTCATGTCGGAATAAAGCTTAAGTTTAAAATTTAATGTTTTTCTCTTTATCCGTTTTCGAATTTTCTTCAAAATTCAAAATTTAAACTTTTTCTCAATACAGTCCATTTTAGAGAAATTACGTAAGGGACATAAATTATAGAGAATTATATCACAAACAATTTTCATAAAAATTTGAATTTTTTACATTTTGTCAAATTTATCGAATACGGACCATTTTAGGAAAATCTTTTATAGAACAAAAATTATAGAGAATATTAGAAGTAACTGTTATTTAAAGGAATTTTCTTCTCCAAACGTAAATAACAGATATATTTAATAAAATATAAAAATGACCACCTATAAAGTACCCCCAGATGTTCCGATTCTCCTCAAAATCTAATCAGTACACCGCAGGCAAGAATAAAGCTTAAGTTTAGCAGATACCTGCTGAAAGAAACCGCCACTCGAAGCAGCACTGATATACTCTTAGATGAATCCATAATTCCAACTGTATCGCAAGAACAGCTTCAAAAAAATGCGCCTCATCGCATTGCTGCAAACAAAGTTGGAAGCACATAATTACAATGTTAAGCAGGCGATCGAAGACGCGGATTCATTAATTGTGCAGACTGCCATCGAACTTGCTCCTTTTTTCCTCCGTATTCTTTATTGAAGATGTAGATTTGAATGTGTTGTTGACTGCTAAAGCCAGAGAGGGTAGAGGTAAAAAAGGAGGATGTATTCTATTCGCCTCAGAGTTTACAATATAGGGATGCTGTAGCGAAAAGTATGTTATTTTTGCATGCCTTCAGTGGACGTGACACTACATCGGCGTTGTTCAATCAAGGCAAGCCGTTGCCACTGGCGAACTTTATGTTGAGGTAGTATAGTGCAGGAAGGGAACATCGCAAGTTGGACTCTGCGGTATACGAACTTTGTACGGGCCGTTTTAAAAAATTCATTCAATTTAGCAGCACTGCCACCAACATCAGATGTGTGCCATCATCATTCATTGCGTACTTATTGTCAAGTACAGAGCTGGCGGGGAGTTCAGAAACCTCCAGAAGATCATGGATGGCGAAGAACAACCATATGACTGGACGCAGTGCGGATGGCAAAGGAACCAGCTCCAGATGTTTTACTTAAGAGCATCTCGTGCAGATGGAAGAAAGGTTGTGGATCTGCTTGTGGTTGCCATAAAATAGGATTAAAATGTTCGATTTTGTGTTTACACTGTAGAGAGATGTCCTGCGAAAAGATTCCGGACCTGATTGCGTTAGACGATGACAATGCAGAAGATGTCGAAAACGTTTACGATCAGTTACAGGACGCTGAAGACCAACCATACAACGCAGAGTTTGACGAATAAACCCAAATATCGACTGAGGATTAGGCCTATTGGGGATACCACGTTAAAAAAAATGGGGGGCCGATCAACTCTACCTCAAGGATGGTGTGGAAACGAGTTGAAAATTATACTTTCTTGTATTATGTAGGCACAAAAAACTAAATTTGGCGCCTAGGTCAACAATAATAAGAAAATATTGACCATAGATACTGATAATTACAAAATGTTTATATCGGAATACGTAGGGACGCGCTTCAAAACATCATTATGTATTATATTCGACAAAATGTATCAAATCGGGCATCTGCAGACACAGAAATCATTACTCTTTTAGAAAAAAAATATTACATCATTGTTTCATAGCGATCTTCGTCTTAATCCGCGCTGAAATTCTCATTTTGTTGAACATTGCAAATCAACCCCCTACTTTGGCGCGTCGTAGAGCGGGAACTATTGGTCGCAAACAAAAAAATGTAGAGGTAAAAATTGTGCACGATTTTGTCCTATACATATTTTATTTGAACTTGTTTTCGATAGTACTTACCACAACGGTGTTATTTCCCGAAAAGCGTCGCAACGCAGAGTTTTCACCCCTTCGCCCCTCGAGTGGCAGCCCCCCGAGGTCGCAAACTTAGGCGTAGTATCAGGGGACCCATGTCTACCATCCCACCAAATTTCATTTCTTTCCGACCTTTTGCAAATTGAAACCACCCACCGCTTGGACTAAATATAAGAATATTATAAATTATTATTTTAACCCATTTGCTGAGATGTGGAGAACAGCGCCTCAATTAGTTGATTTTAAATAATATGCTTTTGATGACGTTATTAGCATGTTTAATCGAATTAAATTACGGGTTTTGAGCTTACATTAAATTGTAATTAGATAAAACAAAATGGATTCTATGTATTTTGAGGTGATCTTTTCGGAAAAAGGCAAAACAAAATGTAGCTGTTTTTCGAAAGTGCCGAAATTTTGGATTTTGTCAATTTTTCAATTTTGCGCATGCGCATGTCGGAAACAAATCAATATTTTCAAAACGCAGTTTACGACATTTGAAAGCTTAGGAAAAATGCTAATTCTCATGTCTCTTGAGAAATTTTGATCCGATGCACCGTTCTCGCGGTATGGACGATTGAAATTTGTTTAGTATTTTGAGGCGGCGAAGGTTGAAAAATTGAATTTGTTAAATGTTCAAACACTAAATTCTTCATGACTTTGGTAAAAATTAAGATATTTGAAAAAACAAAAATGCTTGCTATTGATTCCCAGAAGGGGGCAAGAGAAATCCTAAAATTGGGCATATGACGGAAGGGCAAAGTGTACCGCGGGCCTAATTTCATTGTTTGCCTATAATGGCCAAACATTTTTTTAATGCCACTTACAGAGCTTACTCTTGAATATGAAATCTTATACATGTGTGAATTTCACCGAAATCGGATTATAATTGGCCAAGATATCAAACAATTAAACAAATTTTTTCCCTAAAAAAAAAAAAAAACTTTTCGAAAGTTTGAAGTGGCACAAAAATGCCAAAAATGCACCTAATGGCTCAAAACTTGTTTTTTGAGTACTTTATTGTGTCTAGAATACGATTACATTACAGATAATTCTGCAAAAATATTTTTTCTATTTTTTTGACCACTGTTCATTGAGTGACGACCAAAAAACACGGTTTTTGAGAAAAGTTGCCTAAAATTGACGATTTTCAGTTGTTTGGTCTGAAAATTGAGCAAACCCAAATTTCACGTCTTCTGAATGTGTACACAAAGTTTAAAGTGTGTATGTTTCTTCTAAGTTGTAGAATTCTCCCGACAAAAGTCCCATTACACGCGCTCCGCGGGATCCAAAACTCGTGTATACACTGCATTTCTGTGATTTGATTTTTTTGTGATTTCCAGTTTTAAATTTCTTACATACCTAAATTTATTAGGCCTAAAATTTGTATTTTACTGACTTGTTATAAGACGTTTCTTGAGTTTTGTGCAAAAAAATAGAATTACCGCAAAATTAGCCACACGTCGTATCAAGGATAGCCATGGTCTCGGCGTTCGCTATCCGACAAGTTTAAACTTTGAAAGGTCATATTAATACAAATTGAATCGCTTGATAGTGTTCATCGGCATAGATTTTTAATAACCGTGTTCAGCAAGCTCTGTGTACACGTGGTTTTTCGGACTTCCTCAGCAATTTATTGAGTAAGTACGTTCCTAAATTAAGAAAATTCTATCACAGTGCTATAATTTTTTTGTTTCCAGGTTGCAATGGCTGGCCTGTGTTTATTATGTTATCAGACACTTGCAGAGGGTGAACTTACCTCAATTAGACCGACAGGATTGAAAGGTCTGCAGACGGTCAGCAAAGAGAGGGGGGATGATTTTTTCAGTTCTTTAGAACCAGGTTTTATATTACATGAGAGGTGTCGCAAACATTACGTAGCTCGACGTTACGGAAAAGGGTTTATTTATAAAACCTGGGATAGGCATAAAAGGGCCGCGATT